ATTAATAGCTTCCTATATAGATTATTCATTATGTTGGGCCAAGGATTTAAATAATTTTTTAAATTTATTTTTATTTTTTAGAAGCATTTCATTCCAGCTTTAACATACTCATTAACAGTTTCCAGAGCAAAGATACAGCTCTTTCAAAAGTGGCTATAAAATTTTTAGGTTCACTGTTGAACTAATACAGTCATACAATACTGAATTCAGTATAAACCCTGTAAGACATAAAATTGAATGCGTTTTTAACCTTTAAAAAAGATCTCCATTTCATTTTAAAATATACTGCTTCCTACAGGAAGACTCATTTTTAATGCTACTAAGACTTAGATGTTTGCACATGCTTCTCTAATCTCTATTTGCATGATTATTACTAGTCACAGTCGGTTACACTTGGATCTTTGGCACCTGAGCATGGTTATAATCATCAGGTAGATTTCACTGGTAATGTTTATCACCTCTGCTAATTAACATGAAGTAATTTTTTTGCTTTCTCCTCAAATATAACTCACTTTTTTAATTTGTTGGTTTTTTGTGCATATTATACAGAACATCCCAATCTTATTTATCTATATAACCATTTCCCAAATGGCACCCTCCCATAGCCCCCAGCCCCAATTGGAGCCCACATACTCTGTCATCCCTGGTACTGTCCACTGTGTTGTTGGCACTCCCAGCCATTCCCCAGTGCTTGTCCATCTGCTGAATCTAGAAAACCTATCTAGAGATCTTTGTTTTAGGAAGGTCAGCTTTTCCTCATCTAGCAGCAATCACTCATCAATATTCCTTTGGAGAAGATTGGGGTCTGCTGTTCATTTTCCCAGTTCTATGCTGGGTTTCTGTCTGGGAGTCTCTTGGGTCACCCTGGCCAACAACTCAAAGGAAGGTATCTTCTGTCTGGCATTGTTGCTTGTTATGTAGCCTTTAGCTATACACATGGACTTTTAAAGAATTATATTGATCCCTTTAATCTTTGGTTATACTTTCCTTTTGGGTGTTTAAGACCCTACAGTTGGTCCAGATAAAACATACATTTATACAATATTGAACTCTGTATAAGCCCCACAAGACATAAAATTGAATGAGTTTGGATTTAAATAATTTTGAGAGAGCATTTAATTATAAAAAACTAGCTATTGCAAAAATTCCAAAAAGGGGGGGAAGCTGGAAAGTTAGTTCAGCAGTTAAGAGCACTGGCTGTTCTTGAAGAAGACCTGGGTTCAAATCCCAGCATCTACATGGCAGGTAACAATTATCCGTAACTCTAGGTCCAGAGATCTGACACCCTCTCTGTCTTCTGTGGGCACTGCACGGCACAGCTGCCCTTACATACACACAGGCATAACACTCATATACATAAAATAAAACTTTCAATTTTAAAAATTCCAAAATGCGGTTGGGGAGATAGCATAGCCAGTAAAGCAGATCCTGAGGCTGTAGTTCATGATGGTAATCCCAGCACTGGGGAGGTAGAGACAGGTGGATCCCTGGGACTCACGGCCAGTCAGCCTAGCCTACTGACCCTGTCTCAAAAAATGAAGACCACAGCTGAAGCTGTCTTCTGGCCTCTACATGTGCATACATATATGTGCACACAAACACACAAATTCCATGAACCCCTCAGGAACACACGCACACAATTATTCCAAAATCATTTCTGGGCTCTGTGTGTGTGTGTGTGTGCGTGTGTGACTTTTTAAAAAAATAATTCAGCCAGAAAATAAAACTTTGGTTTCGATTTGTACGACTTTTAATCTCTCGTACTGGTTTACTATGAGGCATTGTTTATATAGTTCTCTTTCTGATATCAAGTTAGATTGGACAACAGTGATTCACCTTTAAAATGTTAGTAAATTACCTCCAATTACAGGAGCAAAACTTCACCTCTGTTTACAGCTAGTTTTTTTTTTTTTAAAAAAACTGCTTATTTAATTTTTCCTTTTGAATACTATATATGTGTATGTTCCTACAGCTATCTATATATGACTAGCTTACCATTTTATACATATATGAAGGCATACAGGTATTCAGAGGGGAAGATTATTAAATGATGTATTCTTTAAATCTTTAAAATAATTTTTTTGAGACAGAATCTCACTATGTAGCACTAGCTGGCCTGGAACTCACTATGTAGACTGGGCTAGCCTCAAACTCAGAGATCCACCTGCCTCTACCTCCCAAGTGCTGGGATTAAAGGCATGTACCACCACACCCAGTTCTAAATAATTTTTATGTGGGGAAGACTCCCAAAGTCAACCCCTGGTTCTCCACACATTTACATTTGTATACATACAAACACACCAAACATCAGGGGGAGAAATAATATTAAAAGCAGGTTGTGAAGGAAAACATGATTCATGCTATTCATTCTTTGCTCAGTTTTTCATGAGAATTTAGAATTAACTCAAAAGAAGAAGGATAAAATTCTTGGCTATCATTTGTAAGTACAAAAATAATGAAATGGGGATGGAGAGATGGCTCAGCTGTTAAGAGCACATGCTGCTCTTGCAGAGGACCCTGGTTTGGTTCCCAGAACTCTCATGGATTCCAGGGGGTCCTATGCCCTCTTCTGGCCTCTCCAGGCATTGTATGACACCAGTGCACTTAAGTACATGCAGGCAAAACACTCATACACATTAAATAAATATAAATCAAAAATTATTTTTAATAATGAAATGTTTACTTGTTTTAAAATTACCCACAATGTTCACTTCTTGCTAGCCCAAGTCTGCAAATCTGTAATGGCACCAAAAAAAAAAAAAAAAAAATTAACCCAATCAGGGAAGTTTGTTATGTGTGAGTGATTGTTCTTCATGTGACACAACTGATCCACACCAGGAAGTTAGGAAAAATTATTTAGTTGTGTTCTCCCCAGATTAATAGTGATGCTCAAGTGTGACGTTTCTTTTTCTGGCTGCCCCCCCAAATATTTTTAGTGAGGCCTGTTGTTTTCTACATTTATCATTTTGTGCTACTGTTTTTTATGAAGAACCAAAATCAATCTTGGAAACAGCACAAAAATGTTTTAAAATTCACAACTGCAAAACAAAATAACTTAATATCATCAGATCTAAAGGGCATGAAAATTTAGATACTTTAATATTTCACTTGTTGCTAGGAACAATTTTTTTAATCTTTTGTGAAAGGGAGAATGTTTCACTCATTTTTACTCTTTAAATAAAGACACTATCGTAGTAACAACTATGTATTTCTTTATGATTTTGTGAGATTACATAAAAGTTATTTTCGCAGATTAAACACTTATGCATAGTATTTAAAGTATTAATGAAAAACTATTACACAATAAAAATATACTTAATAACTATAATACAAACTGGTATCCCAGAAACAGGAAATGGCAATGTTTGTGTTTCTTATTTTCAGAAACTGAATTCTATGAAGCACATTAAGGGTTATGTGTACACTGGAAAAAGAAAAATCCCATCAATCTTGAGTCCCTGACAAATTAAAGCAAGACCATTAAAGAGAAACATTTAACAGTAGACACCTGTGATGTGGCCTCAAGCTCCCTTCTATGAAAAACGCATTTCCATGTCCTTTTTCTTTGAAGTGTTTTTCACTGATATCAAGCCTTCCCTATAACAGGCATTTATAAACTATGTTTGCTAAAAAGCAAAAACAAAACAACAAAAACAAACACTGACTCCTCATTGGGGCCCGCACGGGTAACAAAAAAACAGGATGAAGCCTGGCACTTGCCTTCCTTTGGTTTGTCTCCTTTACATCGGGTCAGACTCAGGCAAGACAGACTGATACTCAGACACTCAAGGACTGTCTGCCTACATAACCTATCTCATCTCCCTTCAAGGCTGAAGATGCAAAGATAGCCGCTATGCTTGAACCCCAGAAACCGCAAAGCCTGGAAGGAGTTCCCACAGGCAGAAAGGACTTCCATCCTGCAGAATCAGAGCTGAGACCAGGATCATTAAGCCACACCTTGCTGGGGGCTGCTTAATTATGCACATCTATTGTGCCCTGTTCAGTTTCTTTCTGTTTAACCCTAAAGCGCACATCAGCGCACCACACACAATTTTGGGGTTCCTGGGCCCTTGTACCTGATCCTCTTGCCAATGTGACACAGTGGTCAATCTTCCGCTGCTTTTCACAATTACACATCTCTTTAATTGCTGTGTTTGGGACGAGTGACTGAGCCCAGCCTCCTGGGGCTTCTGAAGGTGGAGCTGGAGCCCTCCTTGCTAAACAAACAACACGATAACAACCCTATTCTTCCCCCACCCTTCTCACCCATTTCATTATTTCTCCTTCTCGTAGGCAGTAGGGCTGAGCAGTCCTTGGCCATGACAGAGAGCATCCTTGGGACTCAGTTTCCTGAGTGCAGTCCCTACCACTGACTGGGTCCGATGCTGGTGTTTTTTGTTTGTTTTTTTTGAGACAGGGTTTCCCTGTAGCCCCAGCTGGCCTGGAACTCACTATGTAGACCTAGCCTCGAACTCACAGAGATCCGCCTGCCTCTGCCTCCCCAGTGCTGGGATTAAAGGCGTGCACCACCACGCCCGCAGAGAGTAACTCCCTAAATACTCCCTCGTGGTCCACAGTCCCAGCATGTCAATTTGCATGAGTGAAGCATAAAGCCACTCCTTACAGGATTCCAAGCTAGAACATGATTGTTCAGTCAGAAACCACTTTGTATCAGAAACCAACTGGGCGCCTGTGCGGTATAACCTGCCCTGAGGGAGCCCGGCTAGACGCAGCCCTCGGAACCCAGGATCAAGTCGCAGAACCCGCACGATCCGGGCTTCCGGTGCAGCAGACGCTAAACTTTGGAAGGGGCTAAAGACAAGAGAAAACCGAGGTACCCGCCTCAGGAATTTCAGAAAACCAGGGGGGAAGGGGAAGCGCAGCGGAAGGGGCGGAGACTGGGATTCCGGGGCGGGGCCTAACTGGGGTCTGAGGTGCGGTGGTCGGGCTCGGGTCCTCGCAGCGCATCCGCCCAGCCCCGGGTCTCGCTTCTGTGTTACCCTCGCTCAGCCAGCTTCGCAGGGGGTTCAGCGGTGCTCACGTTCTCGACTCGGGATCCGTGGGCCGAGCCAGCCGGAGGCCAACTGTAGTGGCCGCGACCCTCGCATCTCCTACCAACGCAGCTCCGCCCTCTCCTTAAGCCCCGCCCAGCCCCGCTCAGATCGCGAATCCGGCGATTGGGTCTTTGTGCGCACGCGCCAGGGCTAAGCTGGGCCAAGTAGTCCAGTAAGTGGCGCGTAGGGCCATCCCAGGTGGGGCTGTAAGAAAGAGGTCGCTGAGGTCCTGGTAGTAAATAACTGTCAGTTTGTGTGGATTCAAGGAACCTCTCTAGCATGGTGTCTGGCAGTTACTTAAACAAGTGGTAGCTGATGTCCATCGCGGTGTTTTCCCATCTTCATTATTAAAATACCCTCAGTGTTGTGGTTACAGGCACACACTGCCATGCCCAGCTTTTGTGTGTGCTGGGGATCAGAACTCAAGTTCTCATGCTTGCACACACCAAGCACTTTCCCCACTGAGCTATCTCCCAGTCCCCCAAAGTTTTGACAGCCATGGCTGGTTCCATCTTGCTGCTCCTGTTTCAAGCATGGTGCCTGGCCCTTGCAACGTACACCATAATACCTGATACTGGTGGAGCATTTACTTCCTTCTCACCCCTGCCAAGGTTTTGGGAAGATTTATTGTAACCGCCAGTCTCCATTCCATAGATGAAAAGAAAGTTCCACAGAGGTTACGTGACTTACTCCAAAATCATAGATGGGGCTGGAGAGACTCAGCAGTTAAGAGCAATGTCCGCTCTTCAAAGGACCCAAGTTCGGTTTCCAGCACCCACTTCAGGCAGCTCACAACTGTCTGTAAGTCCAGCTCCAGGGGTTCTGACATTCTTCTGGCTCCTGTGAGCACCCCCACACGTATCATACACACACACACACACGCACAAACACACATACATACAAATTTAAAAAAGTATCTTTAAAATAAAATCACATAGATACAACTGGTTTAGATTAAGACCTTCCAGGCCCTGCAGCATCCAATGACCAGGCTCTAGCCTCCAAACTATTTATTTTGACATGTTAACTTGATTGAATACCACATTTATCTGCCTAATTCTAAACTAAATTTTCACTCTCCTAAAATTGAAAGAATTTCTAAAAAAAAAAAAATCACAAAAACTAGAGATAAGGGCTAGAGAGATGGCTCAGCAGTTAAGAGCACTGACTGCTCTTGCAGAGGGCCAGGGTGTGATTCCCAGCACCGACATGGCGGCTACGAACCGTCCTTAACTCCAGTTCAGGGTAATCTGAAGCCTTCTTCTGACCTCTGCGGCAGCACTGCACAGCACAGGCGCACTCACATACATGCAGGCAATACACTCATACGCATAAAATAAAAATAATAAATAAAATATTTGAAAAAAAAAACTTCAGTGTTTGTCATATACTAATCCTCAAGGATGAGAGAAATATAATCCTCATATTCTAGTCACAACCATAGGAATCTGAACGCATTACTTCAGTGTTGGAGCTGGAGAGATGGTTCAGCTGGACCCAGACCTGCAAAACCAAGAGGCCACAGTGGACTGCAGTAGATCTAAGGGAACTACCACAAAAGGACTTACAACTTCCCTTTGCCTACACAACAGAACTCCAAGAGCACTGAAGCTGCAGAGACCAACAGCTCCCACTCAACCTCCCCCCGCCCCCCAGCACCAAATGGAGCCTGCTATGGTCAGAAAGATCTGAGAATTTCACCTTCCAACTCAGTGCAGCTGTGCCAGCGATCTACTCCATGACTTAGTGCTGCTCTTGGGCTGGTCAGAGAAGCTTCTTCTGCAGTGGACAGCAGTCAATGCAGAGACCCCTAACTGGTCAAAATGCTAAGAATCAGTGACTGCTTGATCCTATGTGAGACATCTGTATCACTCCAGGCTCAAGGAACATCACTGAAGATGAGGCAGAAAGATGTAAAAAGAGGCTGGTGAGATGGCTCAGCAGTTAAAAGCACTAGCTGCTCTTGCAGAGGATCCAGGTTCAATTCCCAGCACCCACATGGTGGCTAACAACCATCCATAACTACAGTTCCAGGGAAATCCAATGCCCTCTTCTGATCTTCTCAGGCATTGCACAACACCAATGTGCTTAACATGCATGCAGGCAATACATTCATACGCATAAAATAAAAATAATAAAGAAATAAGATATTTAAAAAAGGATGTAAGAGCTAGACAATGGGGCAGAGTGCTGTGAAAAACTGTCTTCTAGATATGACATGGCCTGGTAGGAATGTAAACTAGTCGCTATGGAAATCCGTATAGAGGTTTCTCGAAAAAACTAAAAATACATTTGGCCCAGCTCTACCATTCCTGGGTATTTACCTAAAGAATTTGCTGCAGCACCATTCACAATAGGTAAGTTGTGGAACCAACTTAGGTGTCTCACAACAGAAGAAGATAAAGAAAATGTGCTTTATATACACAGTGGAATTTCTCAGCTACAAAGAATGAAGATATGACATTTGTTGAAAACTTGATGCAATTAGACATGATTAAGAAATTTCAGGCAGTCTCAAAAGGATGTGTCGTATTATTTTCCTCTAATTTTTGGTTCCTAGATTTTTAAGGAAACACAGAAAATCATGTATGTATATATGATGTGAAAGAAGAAATAAAGCTATCTGGGCAAGACAAAGGAAGGTATGGGAGTACAGGGGAAATATGCTCAATATACTGTATACACTTGTGTAGAAAGTTTAAACAGAGAAAGTAAAGACAACTAGTGAACCATGCTCAGGATGAAAACATATGTCTTAATCTCTATGTGTGACCTGTATATAGAAAAATTACCTTAATTTAAAATTTTTACCTGTGATTTTTGACTTATTACATTTCTTTCTCATATGTAAGCTTGTTCAGTACTCTCATCAATCACCCATATTTCATTTACAAAAAAATCTTTGATAAGGTAACAAGTAGATCAACCCATTTTTTTTCTCTCCTTGGTCAACATTATAGTTTATTTCCTTTAAACAGTGCAATTCTAAAAGCTCCCAAATCACTTACACAGCAACTGCTGAAGCACTTTGATGTAGGACTCTGCTCCTGTGTCTGTCCTTGCCCCAATCAATAAACAGATTCTTCTCACAGCACTCTTCCACAACCAACCCTTGGTCTTGGACTTCCTCAGAACCGAGAGGATAAATTTCTATCATCTAAATCGCCCAGTCAGAGATCTTGTTACGGCAGCTCTAGAGAACTAATACCCTCTAAAAACATATTATTTCAGTGCATATTTCCTTGTATGATACTTTATTTCTTCTAAAAGAATAGCATACAGCACAGTAAATATATTTATTCATTTATTATTGAGACAGACGCTCCCTGTTTTGCCCAGGCTAGCCTGAAACTTGAGATCTTACTGCCTCAGCCTCCCTTGTAGCTGGGATTCAGGGGCATGAAACACTGTACAGTATATTTATAATGCAAGTTTTTAAAAATCTGTTTTTATTTCATTGCCTGCACACAATGTCTGCAGAGGCCAGAAGAGGGCACTATATTCCCTGGAACTGGAGTTAGGAAAAGAACTAGCACCCTGTGGGTTCTGGGAACTAAACCTGGGTCCTCTGTAAGAATGGCCAGTGCTCTTAACTGCTGAGCCATCTCTCCAGCCCTTATAATGCAAGTTATTTACATTGACAAATATAAGTACATGAAATTAAGAAAATATATTCTATGGTGACATCCCAACAATGATGTATCTATCTCAGTAACTATTGCGTGTTTGTTTGTATATGTTGCTAGGGATTAAACCAGGCCTCATGCGTGCTAAGCACATACTCTACCACTAAGCTACACCCAAGCCCTCAAATACTAATTTTCAGGCATTCAACATAAGCTTATTAGCGGTTTTCAGTCTTGCTGGGACAGAGTGAATCAAGGGCACAGAAAGTTCGAATGTTTAAGATGGTTGAAAGATGTCCGTGGTTGGAGAATGAGGGATCAGAACATAGTACATATTGTATATGTCTTAGACTTTTATTTACAGGCACTCACTGGAAAAAAATTCCTCTTGGGTTTCAGAATCCAAATACTGAGCTTCTTCTGAATTTTTTATTTTAAGGTTAAGGATGCCAAAAAGTTGAGACGTGATGGTGTCTCCCTCTTTCCTTTCATCTCTCTAAGAGTCAAATAGAGTACAATTTCTTAGATGTTGGGACACCTCCTCATATGTGGTTACATAATTAAAATATGTGGGTTCATGAAATATTTGACGACAGTAAAATGTTTTTAAACCCACAATGACCAAAATCAAACACTTACTTCATCCAAGGTGATTCTGGCAGCACTGGCCTATGTTGTGCTGCACAACGTCATTATAGATTTGGTTCCGAACACAAAACATACACACTTTGCTTTGCACGTGCCATCACACCACACAATACCAACAAATGTTGCCTGAAACATCTCAGCTTGGATTCAAGACTGTGTTGTGAATTGCAGTGTTTTTACTGTGCATACAAAGTTTTCTGCTGTTATATAAACAAGAGTTTAATTATAGAAAACAAAGGTTTTTAATATTTTCCTGCCATCATTCCTCAGCATGTGAGTGTTAATATATCTTTGGATTGTACTGTGTTAGAATTTCTAAAATATCTATATGAGGTGCCACTTTAACTTTTATAAAAAAAATTATTCAGTGACTTTTGGTTTGAGAACAGAACAGAAATATAACAGTTTCTGAAATGGCTGTAAACATCCTTCTGTCATTTTGAAAATGCATTCTTATGTGACACAGCTTTCTCAGCGTTGATGACTGCCAATCAAGGTATGAACTGCATAAAATGCTGGAGACACTCCACATCCTGCACTATCAAATATTCAGTCAAGAGTTGGTTCTTTAGGGGACTGGAGTAAAAATTGGCTGAGGAGTAAAGAGCACTTGCTGCTCTTGTCGAGGGCAGGGATTGGGTTCCCAGCATCCATGAAGGCTCACAACTCTGTTAACGCCAGTTCCAGGGGTTCCCGTGCCCTCTTCAGGCCTCTGGCAGCACTGTGCACATTGGTGTACATATGCAGGCAAAACACTCAAAACATAGAAAACAAATCTTAAAAAACATTTTTGAAGAGGCTGTCAGATCCCCTGGAACTGGAGTTAAGGATAGTTGTTAGCTGCCATGTGGGTAATGGGATTCAAACTCGGGTCTTCTGCAAGAACATTCAGTGTTCTTAACCGCTGAGCCATCTCTCCAGCCCCAAAACAAAATAAATATTTAAAAATATTTAATTCTTTATGTAAAAAGAAAGAGACATGTCTATCTCACTACTATGTAAATTTGCTTTAATCGTTAATAAACAGTAAAATTATATGTACACTAACAAATTGTTTTAAACTAAATTTCTTTATGATTTATTATCAGCAAATGTTTGGTTCATATGCCTTGTTTTATATACTTATGTACCCAGTGTTGTGTAAAAATTTCTCGGAAGAAAAAACACTGTGAGTGGAAAAAGTTAAGAAGCCAAAGAGGAACAATCTCCCATCCCATAAGAGCATAGGTGCACATGCATGCTTACCAATTTCATTATTTTCTGTCTTACCTTTTCCCAGATCTTCCTCTTTATCTGTATTTGAGCAGCACTCTGAGTATTATGGCTGCAAATAGAAGCTGATATTCTCTGACCATGGTATTATTTCCTCCAGCCAGAACTCGTTCCTGATGTCATTGCCATGTCACTTCTGTCTCTGTGGAAACATTATTTGACATGTTCTGTTATTACCTGGTCTACAAAAGCACTAAAGGCGACGTGAAGGCACATCTTACCCACGAGGCTCGTCCAGGTGTTGTGCATAGCGCGATTTTGTTGTTCTGTTGTGACCAACATTACTGTGTGTCTGAGGAAGACTTGCTTGAAAAGGGGCCCTAGCACTCAAACTCTTTAGTGGACCTTAATACTGTTATTCACCTTTCCAGACTTTCCCCCATCATCCTTTTTTTTTTTTTTTCTTTTCTGTATACATCCTTTTAATGTCCTAAAAATAAAGTCCCAGTGATGGCTAGGAGCTAGCAGATAAGCCATCTTTGGGGGTCTTTTTTCTTTCCCTCCCTCCCTCCCTCCCTCCCGCCTCCCTTCTTTTTTGCTTAAGATCTGAGTTGTGACCATCAGATATAGTTCTGTAGATTATGTACGAATGGAAGAGGACATTAATATTCATGAAATCTATTAATAGCATGAGTCTAATACGATTTTCTCACACAGTTGTGGTTATCCCATAAGATAGAAACTGATGGTCAGGGAAGCTCCACCAACATTCCCAGCGGCGTGTTTGGCTTCCAGCCACTGCAGCTTTCTAGACGCCAGCAGCTCTTCACCGGTGCAACAGCTGCTTTCGCTTTCCTTGGTCCATTTCTGGCAAACCCTGGACTCCTAGCGGCTAACCACAGCTCCCCAGCTCCCCGCTGAGAGCGGATATTTAAATCGAGGTCGCCGGAACCCTACTGGATGCTGCGGATGCTCCTGGGCGCCGCCCCTACCGTTGGGCTCCTCTGATTGGACACCGCTCCTCTCCAAGGGCCTATGGCGCGGCGGCGCGCAGGTTCCCGGAAGTCTTGCGACGCATCGAAGTAGGCCTCTGCTTCCGCAGTGGGCTTCTGTTCCAGCCCTAGTGGCGCTATGAGTTCCTTCCTGGGACAGATGGCCGAGTATCCAACCATCTCTATAGACCGCTTCGACAGGGAGAACCTGAAAGCCCGCGCCTACTTCCTGTCCCACTGTCACAAAGGTGAGCGAGCTCCGCCCGCCTCCCACTGCTGGGGCACAAGGTGCTGGAGGGAGGATGACAGCGAGCTCGGGGCCTGGTGACGGGAGGCACGCTGCAGGACAGAAGCTGGGAAGCACACCTTGCCCCAGTTGGCTCTTAACCTCGCATTGGCTTTATTGTTTCTAGATCTCTACAGCCATTTATAACAGCAACTGCCCGTTGAGCTCTGACCCGGGACACTGGTCAGAGCTATTGAAAGAGCTGGTAGCGCTCCTGGTGGGGAGTAGCAGTCTGGCAAGGGTTAGTTAGTTCCCCACACTTCCTAATTCTCGTTATCATGTGTAAGAAAACAAGAGCTTCACCCAGTGCAGTGCACCCTATTTTTGTTTTTTATTAGTCACTTATGGGCCAGGCAGAGTTTCATGTATCTCAGGCTGACCTTGAACTTCTGGTCCTCCAGCCTCCACCTTGCAAGTGCCAGGATTACAAGTGTGGGCCATCATGCCAGGTTCTATTCTGTGCTGGGGATAAAACCCAGGACTTTGTGTATGCTACACTAGCACTCTACCAACTGAGCTACATCCCCAGCCCTACTTATTAATTTTTTGAGATAGGATCTAGTTTTGTGGCCCTGTCTCAGCCTCTTACAGATGTGGGCCACCCGTGTTTCCCCCTTTTCAGATGTTCTGTCTGTGTCTGACAGAAAGGCTTGTTCTAGTCTAGGAAAGCAGGATGCAGTTTTGCCTTGTACCCTGCATCAGGCTACCAGACTTATGGGATTTCACAGCTACATAGGGGTTAGCCTTAATATCCTTTCTTTCTTTCTTTTTTTTTTTTTTTTTTTTTTTTTTTTTTTTTTTGTCTTTTTGAGACAGGGTCTCACAATGTAGCCCTGGCTGACCTGGAACTTACTAGGTAGACCAGGCTGGCCTTGAACTCACAGAGACCCGCCTGCCTCTGCTTCCCAAGTGCTGGGACTACAGGCCTGTGCCACCATGGCCAGCTCTCCTTTTCTTTTTTTGAGACAGGGTCTCACAATGTAGCCCTGGCTGACCTGGAACTTACTAGGTAGACCAGGCTGGCCTTGAACTCACAGAGATCCGCCTGCCTCTGCCTCCCAAGTGCTGGGATTAAAGGTGAGAGCTACCACACTTGGCTACTGTCCCTCTTAATGATATTGACTCTGTGCTAGGTATTCAAGTGAGGATGACACCAGTCCCCAGAGCTTGAACACTGCTCATTTCACAACCATTGTCCATTTTTAGCATTTGTTAGTGTTATAGGACAGAGTTCGTAAAAAAATCACCAACACCACTTTAAGAAAAATAGCAAGGTAAATTTTAATTTTCGACCGGCCGGGCTGTCTATCTTGGGAGTAGAAGCAGCCCTGGTGATTGTCAGGTCAGAGTTTTTATAGGATTACAGAATTATTATTAAAACAGGACACTTGTGAACCAATCAGGTTTGTACAACC